TACAGGGAGATTGTATATGTAAACTATGCTCGTACTGAAGATTTTTTCAAACTTGAAAGAGAAATGGGCATCAATTGCACTGGAAAGATTGTTATTGCAAGATACGGGAAAATCTTCAGAGGAAATAAAGTATCGTTATTTATTTTTCTAGAAGGAAGGAGATAAGATATATTCAGTTAATGTAAATGATCAGCTTGCATCACAGTTTCCAAAACTGATTTCACCATATATATATGGTGGAAAAAATATATATATATATATGTAGCTATTTCCATGGTTGCACAGAAAATCCTGTTATCTTACCTCACATATCTAGAAAAAATTATTTTAATAATTTTATTACCAAATAAATATTTGCTTTTTTATTTAATATAAGTAAAAGGAAATTTATGTAAACTAAAAAAATAAACTCCCCTGCATTACCCAGCTTCATTGCCCTGACATAATTAATCTTAATAGCTCTTTCCAGACCTAATTCTATAAAATATGAATGTAAATATATCTGTCTCTGTACTAATTTTACATATATTATTTTATAAAGAGGGCATCAGTTACTGAATCATAATGGCTGAATCATAATGTATATTATTTCAACATTTTGATGGCATCATCAAATTATCCTTCAAAAAAGTTGTGACAGATTATATTCTCTAATATTATGTGAGAGTGCTTTCTGAATATTGGGATATGTTTTAGTTGATCAAATCTGATGATTATCTATCTTTTCCTGCAGTACTTCTGGTAATGAAAAATTCAGTATCATATAGGATAGATTTTCTTATTTGTGGTCAGTTTGGATTACAAAAATGTTTACAAAAACACTGTGGGCAATTTTTCACATAGAATTTTAAATTAATGTAGTTCCACAAATATTGTAGAATGCTTACTCTATAATGTGCCAGATTTTGGAGGATGGATAGCTAAAAGTGATTAACACATGGTCCTACTTCTCAGAAACACTCTCAGTTTAGTAGGGGAGAAAGATATTTAAACAATATATTTTAAAATACTTTTATCCATCCTAAAGCAAAATTTTATACACAATATAGAAGTATAACGAAGGGAGACATTAATTTTGCAGTTTTAGGGACAATAGGAATGTTTCACAGAAAAGAGGTGATAACTTGTTTGAAGTTATATAGAATAAATGAGAGTTATTAGGTCTACCAAGAGAAATTGTCTTCAAGGCACAGAGAACTAAATGAGTAACAGCATGATAAAAAGCATTGTTTAAATTTCCTAACATTATTAAATTGATTTTCTCTTAGATGAATAAGTCAATCATTTGCCATTTTTACATCATGAGTTGCACATTGCCCCTGCAGGTTAAAAATGCCATGTCAGCAGGAGCCATAGGAATCATCCTGTACTCAGATCCAGCTGACTACTCTGCCCCGGAAGTACAACCATATCCCAAAGGATGGAACCTTCCTGGAACTGCAGCTCAGAGAGGGAACGTGTTAAATTTGAATGGTGCTGGTGACCCGCTCACTCCAGGCTATCCAGCTAAAGGTAATGGATGAGCCTGCCATGGTCCACCCATTTTTTCAGAAATACTACTTCCCCTTATAGCTGCTTTGAACGGTTGCATACAAGTCTCTTTGTATACTTTTATTTTTCTTGAGTACCAACATTGTCAACTGTGTGCAGTTATAATATTTTGGATGACTATTGCTAGGAATTCAGAGATATTTCCCTTGTATTGCTTTAGTTTTAAGTTTTAATGAGTTGTGGACATGAAGGGAAGGTCAGCTCAATTCTCTCTCTAACTTTAGTAGAGGTTCAGAAACACAGAGCCTCATATCAAAGTAATACTGCTCTTACCAAACTAGAATGTGGGGTTTCTGTGATTTTATCCTTCTCTAGATCATACTTTTCTATTTTTAAAAATACCAATGAGTTTTTTGTTATTTAATATGTAAAATGTGAATTTTTTTGTGTCATTTTATGAAATGTGAAAACCATCTCCATGATCAAGATAATGAACATATCCATTACCCAAAAAAGCTTCCTCTCTTCTCTTTGTAATGGCTCCCTCTCAACCCTTCCTGCCTCTTCCTACCTTCTGCCAATCCCTAGACAACCAATGATCTGCTTTCTGTCAGCATATTTATTTTGAGGTCTATCCATATTGATCTGTGTCAACAGTTCATTCCTTTTTTGCTGAGAAGCATTCCATTGAATAGATATATTACAGCTTGTTTATTCATTTACTTGTTGATGGAAATTTGGATTGTTTTCAGTTTTAGGGCTATTACGCATAAAGCTGCTTTGAACGGTTGCATACAAGTCTCTTTGTATACTTTTATTTTTCTTGAGTACCAACATAGAACTGGAATGGCTTCAATAATATGATAGTGGCATGTTTAACTTTTTAAGACATTTTCAAATTGTTTTTTAAAGTGGTTGTATCATTTTACAGTCCAGCAGCAGTGTAAGAATATTCCAGTTGTGACGTCCTTGCCAACATTTAGTATGTCAATCTTTTTTAACAGTATATTCTAATAGAAATGTAAGTTCTCCAAGTTCCAATTCTTTTTCAAGGTTTTTGTGATTATTCTAGGTCAATTCCATGTGAATTTTAGAACCAGTTTACCAATTTCCATCGAAAAGCCTCCTGGGAGGTTGAATAGTCTATAGATCAGTTTGGGGAGAATTGATATCTTAAAAATAAATAAATAGTGGCTCTTCAGTTCCCTGAATGTGGTAACAACTCTTCATTTACTTAAGTTTTCTTTAATTTCTCTCAGCATGTTTGAAGTTTCACTTCACAGATCATGCATATCTATTTTCACATTTATCCATAAGCATTTCATAGTTTTATGCTATCTTAAATTACATTTTAAGTTTCAGTTTCCAATTGTTTATTGCTACTAAGTAGAAATACTATTGTATTTCTAAAGTAAATATATTGATTATATATCCTGCAAATTTGTTAAACTCATTAATTAGTTCTATTGAGTTTTTGTAGATTCTATCGGTTTTTACACAGATGATCATGTCACCGGCAAATAAAAACATTTCCTTTGTTTCCAATCTGGATGCCTTTTATTTCTTTTTGTCTTATTGTATTGGCTAATACTTCTAGTATATTACTGAAAAAAGTTGTTAGAGCAGATCCCCTTGCCTTGTTCCTGCCCCAAGGAGAAGTCTTTTTCTGTTAAGTATGTTTTTTATAGATTATTTTTGTTCGATTGAGGAACCTCATTTCTATGCTAATGTGATAAGAGTTTTTATCTTAGCACATATATCTATGAATAATATTGAATTTTAGCAAATGCTTTTACTACATCTATTGAAATGATCATAAGTCGTTATTATTTTATTAAGTTGCACTGATTGATTTTTGAAAATTAAACCAAACTTTCCATTCTAGGATAAACTTCATTTGGTCACAATGCATTGTCCTTTCATATATAGTGGGCATATTGTTAGATTTGTGTTAAAATGTTGTTAAGAGTATATCTGTCTTTAGTTATAGGGATATTAGCCTATAGATTTATTGTAATATCTCTGTCTCATTTTGGTATCAGAGTAATATTGGCCTCATGGATTGAGTTAGGAACTATTTTATCTTCCTCATTTTTTATGCAAGAGTTTACAAGAATGGGTTTGGTTTTGTTTATAAATGTTTGGTAGAATTCCCCAGCAAATTCATCTAGGCCTGAAGTTTTCTTTGTAGGAATACTTTTAACTACAAATTCAATTTATTTAATAGATATATGGCTGTTTAGGTTAAGTATTTATTCTTGAGTGAGCTTTGGTAGTTTGTGTCTTTCAAGGATTTTGTCCATTTCATCTAAGTTATTGAACTTATGAGTATAGAGTTGTTTATAATATTCTGTTATTTTTTGTTTGTTTGTAGATACTAGAGTGATATTATCTTCTTTATTTCAGATACTAGCAATTTGTCTTTTTTCTTTTTTCCTGATGTCTTGCTAGAGATTTATCAGTTTTATTGATCTTCTCAAAGGACCAGCTTTGCATTTTATTGATAATCTCTATCATTTTTTTTCGTATTTCTTAGATTTCTGCTCTGGTCTTTATTATGTCCCTTTTCTTCTTTTTCCTCATTTACTCTTTGTTCTCTAGTTTCTTAAGGTGGAATCTGATGTCATTTGTTTCTTTTTTCTAAGATAGGTATTTTAGTATTATACAGTTCTGTTTTGGCTAAAAGCCAAAGTCCCAGTGAGATTTTTAAGCCCGACAATATTTTTCAATCTTTCTTTAAAGATAATATAGTGTTTGAATAAGATTTATCATATATTCCCAAGAGATCATAAATTCCCCTTAAATTTTTTTACAGTTATTTCTAGTTTCAGATTATGGGACACATTTTCCAGACATCTGGTTAATTGAAGCTTCTCTAAGGACTCAAGATATCCTTGAGGAAATAAATATTCCTGTAAAATTCAAGAGAATTATGTGAAATGTCAAAACAAGTTTGAGAATTTATAATACCTATAATTGATTTTATCTTAAAATGTAAATGGTTTAATTTCTTACTGTTGAATTAAATAGACCATATTAGATAAAACTAACACTGACTTTAGTGGAACTTTAAATTTTGTATATAATGTTAAATGTATAGCAAATCTGAAAGAGTAATAGAAAAAATTTCTTTATACCCTTCGCTCAGATTCTTTGTTTTCATTTTATGCAATTGATTTTTGCAGAGTACTCCTTTAGACTTGATGTTGAAGAAGGAGTGGGAATGCCCCAAATCCCTGTACATCCCATTGGCTATAATGATGCAGAAATATTATTACGGTATAGTTTTCTCATTGGATATGAAATTAAGATATTTTGCACTAATGTATTCATTTTCTCTTCTAAAACCAATGTAGTTTTGCTAGTAGTAAAGCCTTGTAGCTTAAGCTCCTGAAACAAGAGTAACAGAGCCCACCTTTTTTATTTTCCTCCATGAGAGCAGTCAGTTTAGTGACTAAGAAAACATTACTCTGTTTTGCTACACATGAGTCTCAAAAGCAAAACTAAGTTCAAAGATAAAAATACTGATTTGAGATTTTTCAAGTAGTTGGATTTTCTTAGACCTTCATTTGATATTTATACTTAATCTGCATTTAAAAAATGTAATAACGACCACCACTTAGTAGATGTGTGAACTTGGACTACTTACTCATTCTTTCTCTGATTCAGTTTCCCTATCTTTAAAATGAAGACAGAAATAATTTCTCCCTTATAGAGTTATTACAAGTACATGAGATCATTCATGTAAAGTATCTAGAATACAGTAAACTTTCAATAAATGTTTGCTATTGTATGTAGTCTAATGTTCTTTTTCAAATGTCCTGATGTGTATTTTTAAAAAATGTCTGTACAATACAATTTAATAATTACTTTATGAGTGCCTACTGTGTAATGAGCAGCTTCTCTAGAAATTCATTTCTTCTTAACAGTCATGTGTTTCACGTCTTCAGGATTTCTTGTATCTAATGCATCCCTACATAAATAAGGTGAAAAGTAAGGAGGCCAAAGCTTCCCTTTCCCCTCACTATTTTGTTTTATTTTAATCCTTAGCTCTTATCACTAACATATGAAATGCTTTGCTTGTGTATCTCAGTTATGCCTCTCTCACTAGGTTCTTAGCTTCACAAGTGAGGGGAGTCTTGATAGTACCTGGCACTTGGTAAATGCTCAATAAATATTTGTTAAATGTATGAATGAAATATCTCATTGTCATACTTCATGATTTTTTCTAAGAAATTGTGCTCAGCATTTTTCTGCCATTTTCATTTTCTCTTGCTAGCCATATGGGAGGAACTGCTCCGCCAGATGACAACTGGAAGGGAAGTCTGAATGTGGATTACAATATCGGGCCTGGCTTCATAGGGCATGATTCTTTCAGGTAATTTTACATTACTTTAATAGCCTGAAAAAATTTTATATGTTTAATGGAAAAAATCAAGATAACTGTTCTGCCAAGTATATTTTGCTTATCTTCTTTTTTCTCATTTTTCATAATGAATAAACATCTTATGTTGCTTAAGAAGTACTTAGAGAATGATGTATCGAATTTCTTCCAATAATGGTGCTATAACATTTATTCTATAAAGTCTCAAAAATTACTATACTTGAATTATAGGTTTAACCTTTAACTTCCCTTTTCACTTAAAGTTTTAAAACAGTTTTCATATAACTTTCAAAATGTTACACATGTGGAAACTTGCCAAAATATGGTAGAATGAGAGATGTCCCCAGATCTTTCCCCTTGAAACAACAATAAGCTGAACATCTAGAACGCAACAAAAAAACACCCAAACTGTACACCAGCGTGTCTGAGCGTGGGATCTGTGCGTAAGAGCTACCACAGGTCAGAACTCTAGGTGTCAGGCGGTGGACTAGGAGAAACAAAGAAGCTGCCTCTCGCACCCAGAGCTACTTGTAGGAGGAGAAGGAGGGAAGAAGGTACAGTGAGTTACTTGAACAGCCTTGCCTAGGAAAGCTTTGAGCTCCATGCGGCCAGCGGCAGTGCCCAGGCATCAGCGCAGAAGGCAGAGAAAAGGAGACAGTAGAAAAGCAGGGATGGCAGAGATTTTTACTAACTGCGGTTGCAAAATTGAGGCTGAGCTGCAGCCCCCATCTCCCAACCCAGAGGGCCCCTCCCCACATACCCTCCGAGATAGAATGTCACATAGGCCCAGGGGAATCTGAGCAAACGCTACTGAAACTGTCGCTAACACTGACAGGAACTGAGACTGAGGGTAGCGAGTGTGATTAAACATCTATAAGGAAAAAAAAGACATTATTAAGACTCTATATAAAGCAAATATCCAAGAGTCTTAGATGCCATCTACTGGAAACCAAAAGAAAAACACCTTATTGCAACAGGCTAGGGACCATTATAAAACAAATCTTTCTGAGAAAAAAAAGCAAAACATACTTCCATTAATACAAATATGAAGAAACAGTCCATTAAACACCATGAACAACCAAGGTGACAAGGCATGTCAGAAAGAAAGAGAAAAATCTCTAGAAAATAAGTTTACAGACATAGAAATATGTGACTTAAATGACAGAGAATTCAGGATGGTACTTCTGGAAAAACTCAGTGAGATCCAAAACGAATCATATCGACAATTTCAGGAACTGAAAAAACCACTAGATGAGCAGAATGAGTTCTTTAGCAAGGAGATTGAAACCCTCAAAAAGAACCAAATAGACCTTCTAGAGATGAAGAACACACTGCAAGAGTTGAAAAATGAAATAACAAGCTTGGGAAATAGAGTAGACCAAATGGAGGAAAGGATCAGTGATATAGAAGACAGAAATCTAGAAATAAATCAGAAGGAAGAAGAGATAAAATGTTACACATGTGAAACACTAGGCTAACTTAAGGTAAAGGAGTAAAAGAAAGAAAGGAGGCAACACTTATTCATCACTTACTATGTGGGTGGGTTAAATGAATTAAAATGGGCAAGCACATAACTATTGTAGGGCTCAATACACTTATTTTAATTGTTATTAACACATAGCACTGTTGCAAAGGAGGAATGATCACAGGGTATGTGTTCATTGAGCTTAATTTTACAGAAAGAGTAAGTTTTCCACTGGATCGAGTTACTTGAACAGGCAGGAAGGAAGTGCCAACTAGAGAGATCAGCTTGAACAGAATTGTGAAACAGCATGTTGTTATTAGAATTTTAAGTCATTTTATTTGCCTGAAATGTAGAGAGAAAGGGAAATGTAATACTGATAAATCAGAGAAGATATAACTATTTTTATAAAACCAAAATTATTATATCAGTTTTGTTTGCTGACAGTTTACCTTAACAATGTGATCTTGGATTCTTAGAGTGTTTTTTTTGTTTCTGTAATTTATTTTTCATTTCAGAACTTTTACACTATTAGTTCAATTTTCTTATTTTCCAGGAATTTTAGAATTTTTTAAATATATAAGTGCTTATTTATCTCTATAATTCATTCAGAACAGAGTAACTTTAATATAAGAAATTTCATTGTATAATTTATTAATACCCTCCAGAGGTAGGAAAACATATACAATGAAAGATAAAGGACTTTCTGATTTGCAAACAGAAAACAGAATATATAGTTTCAGTTCTAATATCAGTCACAGTTCAAGAGAAAACTCAAAAACATAAAACTTCTCTGGTCACAATACCAAAAAGCCGTTCACCTTTCACTATGGACACAAAACTCTTAGTTGACTTGAGCTCAAAATAAACAAATACACAAATTAAGAAAATTGCTAACAACCACATTTTCTGTATATCTCATCCTCAAAAGATCTTGATAATTTATTAATCCATTTGCAGAGATTACTAAATTACAAAACATGAGTTCAAATTCCTAACCATTGCTGCCACCAATGGGGAATAACTTATCTACATAAACAAGCTAGAAACATAAAACACATAATCAGTAGAAAAAAAATTAAGTGATACAGAGAGTCAGCAAAGTTAAAATTTTATTGCTACTTGGGATTTTACTTCTGAGAACCAAAAGAAGAAATGTCTGGGTTTAAGTTGCCCATACGTGGTCGTGAGATGAATCCATCGTACATCTCAGTGGGATCCAAAAATGATAAAAGGTGATTTTTTTTTTTAAGTAAAACCATACGTCTTATACAAATACAGAATAAAATGTGTCTAAAATCATATTAATTAATAAGAGAAACTGAAAGGAGTTAAAATTAGTTCAAGGGAAAATTCAAAGTTGATACAAAAAATCAGCTCATCAGAAATGGTGAAAAACTGATTTAATAGCAGAACTGATTTCTTCCACACTGGGGGAGGAAAGTCAGTTGAATATTCACTAGACAGATTGTACATTTCAGTGAACATGAGTTATTTGCATTACTATCGTGTATCTACAGATTAAATTCTGTCTCTACAGAGCTGTAAAATCATCTGGCTAAAGACAATGATAGGCAGACAGGCAGGAGAAAGGAAGGAAGAAAGAAAGAACTCTGATGGATGAACTAAGATCTTTCTCAATTTTTCCTTACAGGAGAATATTCATTTTACAAATACTTATTGAGCATTTACTATACCCCAGGCACCATTCTGGGTACTGGGGCTTCCGCAGAGAACAAAACATTCAAAAATTCCTGCCCTGTGGGTTCAGTTTATTGGGAACATGATGAGTTTGAAATCATAATAGGACAAACAAGTAGATATTTAGGCATTTCTGGAGTCAGTGAAAGGCATAAGGATTAAAGATGTGGATGAGCTTCTTAGAGAATCTGAGCAGATAGCTTATGTTTATTTTCATTAAAAAATTTTTTTAATTAAAAAGTTAAAAAGTATAGATTTTTTGCTTAGCCCTCATTGTTACATTCTTTCATTTTCTTCATTTAATGACATAATATTGATGAATTTGGGTTTCTTACCAATATTTCTTAGGCTCATATTTTTAGAAACACTATGCTATACAATGTTTCTAATTTTCTGCTATTAAATTTTAGCAGCAGCAAAAATAAATTCTTAATGTCTTAAAATGAAAAGACTACCCATTGATTAGTTTTTTCCCAAAGGCACTTTTAGTTGAATGTTGTACATGAATTAAATATGCATTTGGAAGCACAATATACTTTTGGAGGGAAAAACCAGAATCTGCACTTAACAATATACAGATTTTGACAGCTTGGTAGTTCTTCTATTAAAAAATGAACCATATATTAGAAACTGCTGAGATCCCCCTGCCCCCAAGTCCCTGCCAATAGATAAAGGCTTATATTGGTCCCTTGTGAAAAAGAGGCTCAAAATTTTCCATGTCATTTTGGATTCATGAAATGTGAATATTTTTTTTCTCTCTGAGCTTGATTGTATTTTCCCTTGAATTCCAATTTGGTTGATTGTAATTCATGAATGAATATTTAAAAGGCAGGCCCTGATCAGATTCAACAGTGATGGCCTGGAAGTTTCATTATATGGTTGTCATAAATTTTAGCAGATGCTTCTCAAATTCCCATTTTAACAATAAAGTTTTATCATGCTTCTTACAGGCAGCAATTAGGCAGCCGTTGAACTGATATACTACTACAATTATGTTGAAAAAAGTTACTGAACAGCAGCAATTAATGTAAATACAAGAACACATTAAAAATAGGCGTATTTGTTCTTAAATACATAATGAGCTGTCTTCCTTATTTTTGTAATTAAGTATATTTAAAGTTTTAGAATACTCAAGACATATTAAATAATATTTTGAATTTAAAATAAATTATCAACAATATAGCTGTGAGGGAGGAGGAATTTAAAATATTGACATTCAGTTTTTAAAATTTTACTTTAAGGGCATGTTTAATACTTAGGAGTAAAATGTCATGATGTCTGCAACTTATTGCAAATGGTTCAACAATATTAATAATTATTGAATTTAAGTGGTGGATATATGGGAATTCATTGAACTATTATAGAGTTTTCTGTACTTTTGAGATTTTTCATAATTAAACACTGGAAGATTCTGTTAGACATGATGCTCTATGTGAAATAATTTATTCCATTTGAATTCTAGGAAGGTTAAAATGCATGTTCATAACACCAATAAAATTACAAGGATTTATAACGTAATTGGAACTATCAGAGGATCTGTGGAACCTGGTGAGTCAGAGAATTTTTAAAAATACTTTGTTTTTACAAAGATTAAAAGAGTAAGAGAAGATAAATTTTAGTCAACAATTGACTTTTTTTTTCTGGCTGAAAAGAAACAACTAAATTTGAAAAAAAAATGAAAAGTACAGTCTAAAAGAAGACTAGATATATATAGTGTTTATTTTTTTCTATGGAGGAAACTCAAGGAAGACGTTTAATTTAAAAACATAAATTGCAAATATTTATAATGCACTCAAAATTGTAGTTCTTTTAAACACATTGTTTTCCAGACAGGTATGTTATTCTGGGAGGTCATCGGGACTCCTGGGTGTTTGGAGGTATTGACCCAACCACTGGGACTGCTGTTTTACAAGAAATCGTTCAGAGTTTTGGAAAGATGATGAGTAGAGGTAAATAATGTTTCTTTGGTAGGTAATGAAAAAAAGTGACTCATTTTTCTTATTTTTAGGTAGGTGTACCTAACTATGTATGTTAACAATGCTTACAGGTTGGAGACCTAGAAGAACTATCATTTTTGCCAGCTGGGATGCAGAAGAATTTGGACTTCTGGGTTCCACAGAATGGGCTGAGGTAAATAAGACAAAGAAAGTTATCTTCTTGGTCAACAGGAGAAAAAATATATGTATCTCAGGCTGATCACAAATAGATTCCATTACTTAATATGGTTTTAATTTGGAGAAAAAGAGAATTTAAGAACTGGAGTTTGTTTTTACTTTTGCAACAGTTTGGCAAAACAGAATAACCTCTTAATTACTCAGCTACAAACAAATTTATTTGTTGTCAAAATATTTTAGTTTCTCTTTGTATTAGTTTTAAGTAAGAAAAATGTGTAAGTTCAGAAAATAGTCAAAACCAGCAAGCTGTTTCTGACAAGTGAATTGACTTATCTTAAAACTTATACATATCCCTAGAGTTAATTTTCAAGTTTTTGAAGTTTCCCTGAAATTCTTCTAAGAAAATATAAGATGAGCTCTTAAGATGACTTGACTTTGATTATAATTTCACATTTACAGATTTATATAAAATTGCAACCCTGGGTATATTTTACCATTCACAAAAGTACCTGAGTGTTTAGTATTAGATGATAATTTAGTACATAGAATTATTTTAGGAAATTGCCTTACTTTAGAGTTTACAAGATTTATTTTTTCTTCAGATATGATTGATTTTCATTTGTGACTGGCTCTTAATGTTTTATCCTTAAGTATCTCTCTTAGGCCACCTTCTTTTTTTTTTCTAGGCCACCTTCTTTCATCTTTTTCCATTAGGCTCTCTGTCAAGTAACTTAAAGCTGTTAAATGTACAAAGTAAGCTCATTTTTATAAAGGCAGACCCAGTATTAACACTTATTCTCCCTTCACCATGCTCTATTTATCTTTTATAAGTCCAGATTTTATAATGTTGTTTCAAAGCATGTCATACATTTCTTGACATTGTCTCTAGTTCTTATAATGCTTTCTTCCTGACTCATTTCCTCTTACTTTACTTTAAAATAATATGAATCAAATCAATATGGGGGTAAAATCATGCACACAGTTGTTTATCACTTATTCTTTGATTCCATTTATATTGCAAAGTTTTATTACATTAGTATTATGAACATGCATTTTTGAAGTAAACTATTTAGATCAATCTAATTTCATTCATTATGGTTGTTTACTTTTAGAAATATGTGATTTCTTGTGAAAACATGTATATATAAATACATGCCTCTGCTTCTGTAATTTTAGCAGCTTAAAGATAAAAGGAATCTAAGATATAAAATAATATGCTTTGCATTAATTCAAATACATATGGGTTGAATGACAATTTCAACACTGTTTTTAGTTTTCTACCAGAATCTTTATCATATTCAACAGCATACTTTCTGTTATAAATAAGTTAAGGAATCTTCCTTATTTCTCATGTAAATCTGTTATAATAGAAACTCTGACTCTATCTATATAGCTGAGACAACTATCATCTGGGCTGTGTGGGCAGATGCAGAGAAGTGGCAGTCCTCATTTGTGCCATAAACTCTCACAGCTTTAAATGTTTTTTTCATTAAACAAACTTTTTTCTTTTTTAATAACACATTCTTACAAGGTAGCAAGCTAGAAAGAGAAGTAAAGAGTGCTCTTAGCATATTCCTATGTGTGTGTGATATTAGTCTTTATCTTTCTTGGGTGTGTGTGTGTGAGAGAGAGAGAGAGAGGGGGAGAGAGAGAGAGAGAGAGAGAGTCAGTCAGTCAGTCAATCAGTCAGTATAGTGTTTGTCGTAATGTCCTTCCCTCTTCCTCTCTAGTTTTTCCTCTGTCCTCCTCTCCTTTTCTTCATATTTTTCTTAAAAAAATAAACAGAAATTTTCTATTTTTTGCTTTTAAAATGACACATTTATTTGGGTATCCAATATCAATGGATCCCTCAAACTTCAATGTATGCTAAGATTGCCAGGGATACCTTTTAGAAAATACAGATTTCCAGGTTTGTCAGCAAGTCTTATTCAGTAGATCAGGGTTGGGGGCCAGGATCTGGGAGTCTTGATCTTTCATATTCTGGTTCAGGGATTTAAGGACCCACACTTTGAAAATACTTTTTCTCTGGAGTTCCCTGCTATTGCTATAAACAGTAACTACAGCATAATATTTTTCTTTCTTGTTTTAATGGCTTTAATGTTATCAACCAACCAGTTATCAACATTTTCTCAGAAATTATGGTCCAAGGCATAGGCATTTATTTATAAAGGTATCTGCAACCACTTTCATACTAAATTAATTTGCTTATTTTGTTTACATTCCTACAATTGTAAGTACTATGAATTAAGTAACAACTTTGCTTCAACTATAGGAGAATGCAAAAACACTCCAGGAGAGAAGCATTGCTTACATCAACTCAGATTCATCAATAGAAGGTAAATTTTATTTCAGACTGATATTAAATAGTATATCATATTTTAAGTCTGTAAATTCCAACTTATAAACTACCTAAGATTATTCTCTTTCTATAAGATGCCTCAATAATACCTTCGTTTCCTATTTTACCAGAGAAAATCACTATGATTCAAATGAATCAATGATTTATAACTAAGCAATTGATCCTAATTTTTAAGTATATTTACCATGTTGGATTACTATTTAAAACTCTAATATTAACCACATTCCTTCTGTATAGATATTAAAAGAATTTGGCTAAAAGATTTTATAATTTACAAATATTTTACAGTTTCATACAGAAATACTTTCTGTATTAGTACAAATTTTGAAATAAGCACACACAGAGAAAGGCACAACCTGCGGTCTTTCTTTTGAACCTAACATGTGACATTTGTGTCTCTAGGCTTTCACTGTATTTTGATTGAATGATGCCTTCTATTTGAAGTCTATTATATCTTATTTATCATTAGAAAATAAAGTTAGAATTAAACATAGATTGGAATTTCATTTGGAAATATTAAAATACTCTGTTTTACTTTTCAGGCAATTATACTCTCAGAGTTGACTGTACACCCCTTCTTTACCAATTGGTGTATAAACTGACAAAAGAGGTACATAAGTAGATCAGTCTTAATGTTTTCTGATGAATGGATAAGTACATAATACTTGTTTTCTTAGCAGTACTTATTTTTAAACTGATGACAGACATGGCTCATTTGTATAAATAAAAAGCCAGAACAAAATCTCTAACACACTATATGACATTACAATGAAGATTGTATTGCTAGTTTCTCTGTTCTAATAATAGTTCTTATTAATAGTTCTTATGTGGACCTTGTAATGTATAGGGTATGTAATTTCATTGGGCAGAGGCATTTTGATATAACAGAAAGAACACTGAGCTGGAATGGAGAAACCTTGGGTTCAAAGATTGCCTTGGCTGCTCATTCATTCATTCAATAAATATTGAGTGATTACTAGATATCAGACCCTATAAAATGAATTCTAGCAGCAACAAAGATAAAATGACAAGGTCACTGAATCCAGATATTTTGTAATCTAGAGAGGATACAGACTTATAAATGAAGAATTATAATTCACTGGAATATTGGATACTATGTACAATGGAGAACAATTATGGACTAGAGAACCTAAAATCTTGGGGTAGCTGAGGAAGTTGGGAAGCATCAGAGGATGTTCATAAAATAATGAGCGCTTGAGCTATAAATGGAAGGATGTTGAAAGTAAGGGAGAAGGCATTCTAAGCAGAGGACATAGTTCTCCCCAAAGATGTGGAGGTATGAAAGAACATATTTCCTGACCTGCAGGTGTAGCTCAGTTTGCCCTAAATACAAAATGTTCATGGAAAGATGGTAAGAAACGGGGCATGACAAATAGGCCAAGGAGTTCAGAAACCTGGTGATGAAAAAATTAATGAATCTTTAACGAGGTTGTACATTAGCACGTTTGTTTATTAGAAAGATCACTCTATCAGTGTAGTGAACAGGTAAAGCTGTAGCAAGCCTAAAAGCAAAGTGGAAATACTTTCCCATGCTGCTTATCACACAGGAGTATTATAAATACTAGTTATTAATATAGAGTACTCTGAAAACTCTAAAACACTGAGTCTCTAAAAATTATATAATCTACTCATTTTCTGTGAACTTCATTTAGTTCCCTGATATAAAATTTCATTATAAAAATGTTTTTGTCGATTAGGTCTTGCTTAGATGATAGTGTGAAGTAGGTGTCACTTTTCTGTAGATGCTATTTCCCAGTCTCTTTTAATCTTGCCCTTTCTCTTTTACTGTCTTTAAAAACTTGTTCTCCCAAATGAGTCTTCCATTATGTCCATCACAACTCTTCTACCATAGAGGGTACCTTATGTCTCTGATCTTTTCATTGGAATGTCCTGTGAGAAACATCCTACCTAAAAGCAAGCTGTAAAGAAAATCTGTGTTGGGAGAACCCTTCTCAGGATATGCATTTATGCTTTGTGTAGTCCTGCAGAGCTGTCTCTTGCTCATGAGGTCAGGGATAATAAGAATTTCAGGGCCAGTAAGGGAGAAGTTTGGTTCTATGCCCTTTTGTACAAAAGCAGGTGCTTATTTATGGCCATGTGAAAACTCAGTAGAAAAAAAAGAATTTTTCATTCTCCTATGGCAGCTGCCTGATAGAAGCAAGAAAGGGGACCAGGTGTTGATATGGAGGAGAGATAACAATTATGACAATGCGTATAGTTGAGACAGAAAAGTCTCATTTAGGGCTTCCAGGCCAAAGAGATACAGTTCTGGTTAGTGCTAGACCGAGATAGTGTGATTCCAGAAAATAAAGATTTTGCAGGGAATTCAGTCTAAGCTGGATGTAGGAACTGGAGTAAGATTTCAGCTATTACAAATTAGCAGGAGCCAACTAGAGAGTAGAAGCCACTCATCTGACTGGAAATGAGCAGAACACCTCTGCAGCTGCCAAATACTGGCAGGGAAGGGGATGCTTCTATGCAGGGCTACAACTGTTTTTAAGCTGAGGACCTCCTACATGATGATGAAGGAATAACCAACTCTATATGAAGGCCAGAAAAGATATCAGAGGAGATGATGTTTAGATTAAGATGGGTACAATTCCTCCCATTTCCACAGGTGAGAAAACTAGGGTTTAAAGATGAGAAGCAATACACCAAAGATTATAATGCTTTCTGGGTTTCTTAAGTAGGGTCTCCTTGGGTCTGTTTTTGAACAAAGCAGAGCTATAAATTAACTTCAGCCAATATATGTGATAATATGGATCTAAAATAGACATGGTTAGACTCTACAGTCCACAATTTTCCGCCCACATGGCGTTGCTTTTCTTAGAGTGTGGAAAGAAAAGTGAAGTTCATAAATATACTTTTTTTCCCTTATGAACTGATTCTTTTTTTAAATAAGCTTATTTATTTAAATTAGTTTCAAATATACAGTACATTGGTTAGACATCTATAATGTTCATAAAACGATCCCCTCAATTGCTCCCTTCCTCCCCTGGCCTCCACTTAGCTTTCATATTAATGCTAACTGCATTCCCTCTGCCATGCTCCCCATCCCTGTGCCCAACTATCAGCTACTAATTTGTACTTCTTTAACCCTTCACCCCATTCTCCCAGCCTCCCAACACCCCCCCCTCTGTCATCAAATTGTTCACTATATTTATGAGTCTGTTTTTGATTAGTTTGTTCTTTTTGTTCCTTAGATACCGTATATGAGTGAAATCATATGGTGTTTATTTTTCTCTGACTTTTTCATTCAGCATAATAACCTCTAGGTCCATCCATGTCATTGCAAATGGTAGGATTTCATTTTTTTTAATGGCTGAGTAATATTCCATTGTATATATGAACCATAATTTATCCAATCGTCTTGATGGGCATTTAGGTTGCTTCCATATTTTTGCAATTTTACAATTTGCTATTGTAAATTGTGCTGCCATGAATACTGGAGTGCATAGATCTTTACAAATTATTGGTTTTCTTTGGATGAATACCCAGAATTGCAATTGCTGGGTCAAAAGTTATATCTATTTTTAATTTTTTGAGAAACCTCCATACTATTTTCCATATGGCTGTACCAATTTGCAGTCCCACCAACAATGTACGAAGGTTCCCTTTTCTCCACATCCTCATCAACACTTACTGTTTTTTGATTTATTGATGATAACCATTCTGACAGGTGTGAAGCAATATCTCATTGTGGTTTTAATTTGCATTTCTCTGATGATTAGTGAACTTGAGTATCTTTTCATATGTTTGTGAGCCATCTGTATTTCCTCTTTAGGGAAGTATCTGTTCAGATCTTCTGCCCATTTTTCATAAATATACTTTTAATAAGGGTAGTAAAAATGTTTATGTATACACAGAAGCTCTTAAAATTCCCAAATAGAAATCTGAGGTTATGTAGTTTTTTAAACTCTTCAAATTCCAACTTTGTTTAAATACAATCAGACTTTCTAAAATAACATTCCTTCTCATCCCACTCACCTTACAAATCCAGGAATTATATTGACAATTTCAAGCTCAGCCTCATAACCTTGATCTGCTGCCCTGAGGACTCTTTGCGGGTCTTCTTGGATAGAAGCAATTTACTAAAGTAAATATTAAACTAAATTTCCCCCCAGATACTTCTCACCAAAAGAAATTTAAGCTGCCAAACATTGAAGTGATGACATTTATTACAAATCTGAAACTCTATTTTAAAAGTTTACCAAAATAAGCAGGAAATTTTATCCTAGGTACACGGCAAAATTACCAATAGGCAGGCATCATAAATGAACAAGAATTTTGGCTGGATATTTTTATTCCCATTTGCAAAAGCATATTTTTCTATGAAGAACATCATGCACAAATGTATATATAGTTAGAAGTAGAAGTTGATGTTAACAAGCATATGGTTTTATGTTGGCATAAATTTAGTTGCTTTTGCCACTAAATTCCCAGTATTTCATTTCTTTCCAGATCTCCAGCCCTGATGATGGTTTCAAGGGTAGATCTCTTTATGAAAGCTGGTTGGAAAAGGACCCTTCATCTGAAAATAAAAATTTTCCTAGGTACATTACTTGTTTGTATATTTTCTACCATAGAATAAATGATGAACTCCCCTTTGCCCCTTTTTTCTCCAGACATGCAATTCTCAGATGCCTCGTCAACAATGAGTAGTGAAAAGATAATCCTAAAGGATCCCTTTGGCCTTTGATGTGCCCATCAACCAGATAGCCAATCTTAAGTTAGAATTATTTTGCCACATTGTTAGAAATTATTTTTCATCCCTGCATAAAATTTCTTTCCAATATGTATTAAATATATTAATAAATAACTTCAAGTGATAATGATGAAGTAAAAAAAGATGGATTATTTGCTTCTAAATTTAATGGACATTATCAACCACAAAATTGTGTCTTTACTTGTAATCAATTTATATTTTACATAAGTATTAATTTTCTATTTGTTTTCATTCATACAATAGCTTTCCTAAATTTACTTTATATTTGTTTTCTATTGCAATACTATTTCTTTTCTTTTCTTTTTTATTAAGTTTATTGGGGTAACATTGGTTAATACAATTATATAATTTTCAAGTGTACATTATCATTTGACATCTATATATTCTATTGTGTTTATCACCCAAAGTCTAGTTTCCTTCAGATACCATATATTTGATCCCCTTTACCCACTTCACCCTCTCCCTCCCCGCCTATAGTTGACCCCCTTTACCTTATCTCTTCCTCCTCTCCCACCCCACTAGTAACCACTACTCTATAGTCCTCTGGTAACCACTAGTTTATAGTCCATGTCCGTGAGTCTCTGTTTGTTTGTCCTACTCATTTGTTGCTTTTAGGTTTATATCCCACATATAGGTGATATCATGTGATTTTCAACCTTTTCTGTCTGGCTTATTTTGCTTAGCATGATTATCTCGAGGTCCATCCATGTTGTCGCAAATGGCAGTATTTCTTATGGCTGAGTAATATTCCATTGTATATATGTACCACAGCTTCTTTAGCCAGTCATCTATTGTAGGACATTCCATGTCCTGGCCACTGTGACTAATGCTACTATGAACATCGGTGTGCAAATATCTTTTCGGATATGGGTTTTCAAGTCTTCTTTGGGGTAAATGCCCAGTAGAGGGACTGCTGGATCATATGGTAGATCAATTCTTAGTTTTTTGAGGAACCTCCATACTGTTTTCCATAGTGGCTGTACCAATTTACAGTCCCACCAGCAGTATATGAGGGTTCCTTTTTCTCTGAATCTTCTCCAACATTTGTTATTACTTGTCCTGTTGATTATAGCTATTCTAACAAGTGTGAGATAGTATCTCATTGTGGTTTTGATTTGCATTTCCATAATAGCTAGCGAAGTTGAACATCATTTTATATCGTTGTTGGCCATTTGTATGTCCTCTAGGGAGAAGTGTCTGTTCAGGTCCTCTGCCTATTTTTTGATTGGATCATTTGCTCTTTGGTTGTGATTGAGTTGTATGAGTTCTTTGTACATTTTGGATATTAGGCCCTTATCAGAAGCATTGCTTGCAAATATATTTTCCCATTCAGATGGTTGTCTCTTTACCTTGTTGATGATTTCTTTTCCTGTGCAGAAGCTTTTTAGTTTGATGTAGTCCCATTCATTTATCTTAGCTTTTACTTGCCTCGCTTTTGAGGTCAAATTCATAAAATCCTCTTTAAGTCCAAGGTCCTTGAGTTTCATTCCTATGTTTTCTTCTATGCATTTTGTTGTTTCAGGTCTTATATTCAGGTCCTTAATACCTTTTGAGTTAATTTTGGTGTGTGGTGATAGACAACAGTCTAGTTTCATTCTTTTGCAGGTGGTTTTCCAGTTTTCCCAGCACCATCTATTGAAGAGGCTTTCCTTTCTCTACTGTATGTTTTTGGCTTTTTTTGTCAAAAGTTATTTGCCTGTATAAATATGGGTTTACTTCTGAACTCTCGATTCTGTTCCACTGGGCAGTGTGTCTGTTTTGCTGCCTATACCGTGCCATATTGATTACTGTCACTTCGTAGTATAATTTGAAGTTGGGCAGAGCGATGCTTCCTACCTCGTTCTTTTTTCTCAGGATGGCTTTGGCAATTCGGGGTCTTTTGTGCTTCCATACAAATCTGATGATTTTTCCTTCCATTTCTTTAAAAAATGCTGATGGGATTTTGATGGGGATTGCATTAAATCTGTATAATGCTTTAGGTAATAAGGTCATTTAAACTATGTTGATTCTTCTAATCCAAGAACACAGACTGTCTTTCAATTTCTTTGTATCTTCTTTGATTTCTTTTAATAGTCTTATAGTTTTCATTATATAGGTCCTTCACTTGTTTCATTAAATTTATTCCTAGATATTTTATTATTTTTGTTGAAATAGCAAAAGGAATTATTTTTTCCACTTCTTTTTCTGACACTTCATTATTAGAGAATAGGAACGCTATGGGTTTTTAAACGTTAATTTGTATCCAGAGACATTACTGTATTTGTTTATTGTTTCTAGTAGTGTTCTGGTGGCGTCTTTAGGGTTTTCTATATAGAGAATCATGTTGTCCGCAAATAGTGACAGTTTGAGTTCTTCATTTCCTATTTAGATGCCTTTTATATCTTTCTCTTGCCTGATTGCACTCTGTTGGCTGAGGGCTTGTCATAGATGGCCTTTATTATGTTAAAGTACTTTCCTTCTATGCTGATTTTGTTAAGTGTTTTGATCATAAATGGATGTTGTATCTTGTCGAAGGCTTTTCTGCATCTATTGATATGATCATATGATTCTTATTTTTTGTTTATGTGGTGTATCACATTAACTATTTGCGTATGTTGAACCACCCTGTGCCTCTGGGATGAAGTCCACTTGATCGTGGTGTATAATCTTTTTAATATGTTTCTGTATTCTGTTTGCTAGTATCTTATTTAGGATTTTTTGCATCTGTGTTCATGAGAGATATCGGTCTGTAGTTTTCTTTTTGGTATGAGTAACATTGGCCTCATAAAATGAGTTGGGAAGTATTGCCTCTTCTTCAATTTTTTGGAAGAGTTTGAGAGGAATAGATATTAAATCTTCTTTGAATGTTTGGTAGAATTCACTGGTAAAGCCATTTGGTCCTGGACTTTTTTGGTAGGTTTTTGATGATTGTTTCATTGTCCATACTGCTGATCGATCTATTTAGAGTTTCCAGTTCTTCTTGATTCAGTCTAGGAAAGTTGTATTTTTCTAAGTACTGGTCCATTTCTTCTAGGTTATTAAATTTGGTGTTATATACTTTTTCATAGTATTCTTGTATGATCCATTGTATTTCTGCAGTGTCTGTCGTAATTTCCCCTTTCATCCCTGATTTTATTTGTGTCCTCCTTTTTCTTTAGTGAGTCTAGCCAGGGGTTTGTCAATTTTATTAACCTTCTCAAAGAACCAGCTCTTTGTTGCATTAATGCAATACTATTTCTAAAACCAGCTGATAATGGTAGTTTATGGCTTCATTCTACATTGCAAATAAGTCTATGAAAGTTCAAATGTGTTTCCATTATAGAAGTTTTACATGCTTATTCAAAAAGAAAATTAAAAAATCCAAGGTCTCAATCTCAAAAACACATCTAATAATTTAGAAGTACATAGTTATTTTCTTTATATATATATAATTTTATATTCTGCTTTACTGATGTATGATGAACATTTTTCCATGGCATTATATTATGTGTCTATATATGTATATATATAGTGGTTTCTTGATTACATGCAAAGGAATGTATTTAGATCTAATTTTGAAATAAGGCACATTTATATTTTTCATAATCTTAAATATAGACTTTCATGGCAACTTTCTTACTAGACTATAATTCTCTGAGGGCAGGGACCATATTTTATTTGTTGTTTTCCCCTCTAAACAAATACTATAAATGCAGAAAATATGGAAGAGAATAGTCACTAGGCTGCTGTCTTTGGTGGCACTGCCAAAGTCTGGTTGTAGGCAATGCAGATGTATCACATCAATTTCCAGCAGATGACAGGGAAGTGTCTTGGGGGGTGGTATACCTTTTCCTAATGCCTATATATGTACCATGAAATTCCTTGCTATTCTTGGATTAGTTGTCCCAACTATTTAACTTCATATTTATTTACGCCTTTTTGTGTGTGTGTATTTATTTTCTATATCTAGAATCAACAAGCTGGGATCTGGAAGTGATTTTGAAGCTTATTTTCAGAGACTAGGAATTGCTTCAGGCAGAGCCCGTTACACTAAGAATAGGGTAAGCTGTTTTATTTTTTTGGATGCATAGTAACTCAACCACTATTCTTTTTGATAAGAATTGTCATTTAGTTGTTTGGCACAGGTACCAGAAGAACATGTGGCCTGTGAAGAATTTCAGGAATAGAGAGACAGGCTGCATGTCCCTTTGTGGATGGACTAGTTAGTCATTTGCGTTATTTTGTGAATTTTCACTGCCAGCATTATTCAATGAAGTGGTAGTTGACAGAGCAATGACAGGGACTTAGCTGGTTATCAGTACCAAGTAGTTTACATCCTTTTCCTGAGGCAGGCTTTGTTGGAAAAATCTCATTCGTCATCTTGTAGGTTCTGATGTGCTTTTCCTGAGGAAGATGTACAGATAGAGAACATATTTTGGTTATGGGGAGTGCCAGGCTAAGATTTTTTTATTGTTACTAGCTCCTTTTCACATTCCCACTACTGCCCGTCATCTGAGTCCAGAGCTCTTAAATAGAAAATGAAATAAAGTTTTCTTTCTTTTTTAAAAATTTATTATTCAATTACAGTTGAAGTTCAATATTACTTCTTCTTTTTTAACTTGATACTGTTTTCTGTTCTGCACCGACTGGTCTGCATGATTGCCACTCAAATACATTGAAGATATGCAAGTACTTGCATACGCCAACATATACTATGTTTGCTACAATATAAATTATGTCATAAACCAAACTGAACTCAGATTTGTTAGATTTTAATAATTTTCAAATCATAATTGCAAAATACCAACGTCTTGCTTTTATAGAATACATAGCCCTTGTAAATTTGACTATCCAGAATACAACTAAAGCAAGAACAGCTCCAGAGTAACCCAAAATAAATGCATAAATCTGTACACTAATATTCACTACACTTAGTACATAAAAGATGTGCTTCACCTCTTTAAAGGTCTCTTCATTTTTATGCTCTGCCATCATTCTTAACAAAGTTATCTAGTTTCTAAGACAATGCAGATTAAGAGCAGAATACTAGACAGGAGAGAGATTGATACAGGGGTTCTTTTAGTGATATTAAAATCAGTAAGAATGATAGCCTTATAGTGATGCAGAAGATAGGTCTGCCTTTCCTAACTGTTTTTCACCTAAGTCAAAAAATATTTAAATAGAATACTACCATGTGATAATTTATGTTTCTATAATGGTAGCACTAAATTGTGTAATACAGGTTGAATGGTACTTGGAGATGCACTGTCTGAGTAGACAGGGAAGATGCTTAAGAATTTAATCCTTCATCTATATAGGTACTTAGCTGTCCAGAACCTTTCATTCTCAATCAACTGGTAGATAATTTTAAACTCTGCTGATATACAATTGGAGTATAAACTTCTTAATGATCAGAAAAATAAAATTCTCAAGCAGCAGTATTTTGAATGAAGATTACATGAATTATAAAATGAATAATGGTATAATCTTAAATCGCTGAACATTTGTGGTAGTGTTTTAATTAATTTTTTTTGCTTCATTGTGATTAACTTGCTGCCATATAGTTGCATTTTTCCCTGCAATCATTTTTATTAGGAAAAATACTGTAATTCAAATATTTAATGTTTGTACTTGGTCTCCCATTTTTTTTTTTTTTTTTTTTTTTTTTTTAGAAAACAGATAAGTACAGCAGTTACCCAGTATACCATACAATTTATGAGACATTTGAACTGGTAGAGAATTTTTATGACCCCACATTTAAAAAACAACTTTCTGTGGCTCAATTACGAGGAGCACTGGTTTATGAGCTTGCAGACTCTCCAATCATTCCTTTCAACATTCAAGACTATGCAAAAGCTTTGAAAAACTATGCAACGAGTATTTACAATTTATCCAAGAAACATGACCAACAATTGAGAGACCATGGAGTATCATTTGGTAAGAAATGACTAAGTAGGTACTTTTGATGTTTGTAGGATGAATCCATTTTGCTAAGTTAGTGCTAGACATTGGTTTTCCCTATATTGCTGCCTTTAAAAATAATTTTACTGTTATAAGAATACTATAAAAATGTAACAATATTAAACAAAATTTGGAGAGAAAACCAATTCTACTACATATATGTATTAAAATTGTTTATTATTGCATGTATCTTTTAATGTTTGTCTCATAGATGATTTTTTTACAAAATTTTTAAAGTTTTTCTTTGTATATCTGGCCATTTTGTGGTTGCTGTTCTATACTATATCTCCTACAGAACAGGGATGAAATTTAGTATAGTGTAGTAGCATTGAGCATTGGGTCTGGAAGCAAGTTTCCTGGTTCAGATCCTGGCTCTAATATTTAATCACTGTGTGATGTTGGGAAAGTTACTTAACCCCTCTATGTGTTAGTTTTCTTATGAGTGAAATGGTAAAAACATTTCTAAGATTGCTGTGGAGATTCATTTGGTTGACACATAGAAACAATGAGGACTAACAGTGCTCATAAATGTTACCTACTATTTTATTGTAACCATTTTCTTTTATTCTGAGTATATATTCTTAGTATATACTACCAAAATTATCAAATATGTACTGTCTACTATGTACCAAGTACTGTGATATTTCCTGGGAGGTATAAGGATGTTTAAGACAGTTATTTGTCCTCAAAGGACTTAAAGTTTCATGTAGAGAAGGAGAAGACAAAATGCAAGGGACAAGTTATTATAGAGATATACACAGAGAGTACTATAGATGCACTAAGGGGCCGGTAATGGTTTTTGAATATCATGTAAGAATTAGTAATCTTCAAAGAGTTATGATAAACAGCAGGTACTAAGATCTAGAAATAAAATGAAGCAAAGATAATTTAGAAAACGATAACAATGTGATGGGAAAATCTCTGCAATAATGAGGAAAATGGCGATGAAACTAGAGACATAGCAGGGCCTACAATAAGATGGATATTCATCATTCTGTGGCTATCCAGCATCTAGTTCTCTTCCTAAATGCCCCAATTTCCTTTTATCGATTTGTATAAGTCAGGGTCCAACTGAGAGAGAAACCACACAGTTCCAGTGGAAGGACTCTTTATACATACATGTTTAACTGATCCACCCATTTACCTTAAGGACCTAGTCTGATCTATGCATGCCTTTCTCCTCCATATTGCCAAACTCTTCATCTCTATTCATGAGTCTCCATCAACATTAAACATTCTTTTCTCTCTTCTATCTTAAAAACATTTCTTCTACTTGATGTGCCCTACTTCCTTCATAATCAAAATTTTTTATTTAGTGCTAGCTAAAAACTGTTTTAATAGAGGACTGAAACAATGATGAATGATCTATACTGTTTTCTGTTCTTTACCTCCCATTAACCAAACCACTGTACTATTTTATGTTCCTACTACTCTACTGAAATTGCTCTTCCCAAATTTTCATTCACTTGTGTCACTAAATAAATCAGACACATTTCAGTTCTTATCTGTCTTGATTTCTATGCTTCATTTGAAATTTAAAATTACTTCCTCAATACTTTGTCCTTAGCACCCATATCTATTATTGGCTTATCTGATTAGTACAGTTTAAAATCATAAAACAAAAATTAAAGTGGAAAGAATATCTAGGGCTAAGAAAGACCTTTTTATATTGAATGTACTTATTACATCGATTGTACCAGCAGACCTTGTTTCTTATATTGAATGTACTTATTACATCGATTGTACCAGAGAAGGTCTTCTAATAATGTTTCACTCAGTATTTCATTATAACAGATAAGATGCCTTAGGAATTTAACTCTTGTGTCTATCAATGAGCTTATGGTAAAACTGGTTTCATTATATGTTGCTTCACTTAGTCGCAGGACCTACTGACATTGAGGACTTACTGTACTTACTAGCAGTGTGAATTATACGACCTAGACTCTTAATAACTAATGTAGCCATTTTCTATTTTATACATTATTTCTTTGTTACGATATTTTTAAATAATTTTCATGGTTCTGCAAGAAGGCTTGGTAGGAAATGGTTTCAATATCAGCCTGGAATGGGGAGGGCGGGGAAAGAAAACCAGATATATGAAGTACTTGTGCTTACTCATTTCTCTTCTGCTTTTCTATTTTTAAAAAGATTCCTTATTTTCTGCTGTGAAAAATTTCTCAGAAGCTGCTTTAGATTTTCATAGAAGACTTACAGAAGTTGATCTTAATAAGTAAGTTTCAAATATAAAGCCTCCTATTGCTTTGAAAAGCAATTTGGTCATTAGAATGAACTATGTATACTCACAAGCATTCAACTCTAAATCATTGCTACTCAAATAATGATCTGCAAACTGGCAACATCAGCTTGTCCTTATTTAATATTTTAAAATATAGTTCCATGATAAGGGTTATAATTATGTTTCTCATTGTCACAGTCCCATTGCAATAAGAATCATGAATGACCAATTGATGCTCCTGGAAAGAGCATTCATCGATCCCCTCGGTTTACCAGGGAGGCAGTTCTACAGGTAAGGAAACAACAGGTGTTCCACTAAAGGACACCACATACATCACTAAGATCAAAATCAGCTTACCTGAAGTTGGCTTTAAACTATTTCTATCAAATGAGTGGAAGGTAAATATGCATACTGAGAGTAATGTGGATAAGATACATAACAGTATAATTTATAATACCAGAAAAAGTAATTTTATAGTTTATTGCTTTACTGCAGAGAGGTAAATGATAGCTGAAAAAGGACTTCACAACAAAAATATAAAAGCCAAGGAAACTTAAAGGGGATCTCACAGGTCATGTGGTCCAGCCTTCTACATAAATCTTTTCTATAGGATCTCAGAAATGCGCAAACCTCATTTTATTGTTTTGAGCTTCATATGTTGAATTTTTCACAAATTGAAGGCAAGATGCTCCACTGGCAAAAGGATCATGAAGCTCAGTTTACCGTGTGGCTCGCTTCGCCATGGTGGTCTGGGATCGAACCCACAATATTTCCAAGGCATACCTGGAAGTATTTACCTAGCCTCTGAATCTTCCAGTGATGGGAAGCTTACTATCTCATGAGGAGGTCCACTCCATTTTAGTAAAGATCTACATAATAGAAAGTTTCATAAAGATCTATTACTCTGTAATTTCCCCCCCACCCCCATTCTTTTGTGCTCTGTAAAGTCAAAGAGAGTAAGTCTAGATCTATTTCCATGTAACATTTTGGGTTTCTAAAAATGGCTGTTTCTCCTAAAGAAATATCCATTTTCTATATGACTTCTTTGTCGTTTCCTTTCAATATCTTACCTGCATGCTTTTCGATAGTCTCCAGTTTTTCAAGGTACCTCTCAAACTGTGGTTTCTTGGTGGAAATTAGAAAGGTCCTAGCATTTAGAATCAGAAAATCTAGTTCATTTCTACATGTGTTACTTAGGGCAAGTCACTTTTAGGTGTTCATCTGAATTAAGATGGTGAAAACTATTTTTAGTTTAGGCTGTTTATCAAATAACATACATGAAAGTTCCATATGTTACCTTATGAATATTAGAGATTAGTATTTTTACCATTTCACTAATTGTAAATATAGGCTTTTAGAGCCCAGCTCTGCTACACACTGCAAAATATAACTTGGGCCAATTATTTAAGCCTCAGGTTCCCCAGCTGTAAATTTGAGATTATAATTGCTTTGGTCCACAGGTTTGTAGATTTAAAGTAAGCAGATTTAGTTCAGAAGGATACACTCAGTAAATGGCTAATATGAACAAAAATGTTAATTGATACAAATAAGTCACCAATTAAGTTTACATATATTTTAATCCTCTTGTCTGTTACTAGTTTTATATATATTTATTAGCGAAAAAATCTCATGAAATTCACTCTATAGAAGCATATAGAAAAGGGACAGTGCCCTTCAGTATTCTTATATATCCCACACCCAGTGTTAAAATTTGTGTGAAATTTTTAATGCATTTATGGGCACATGTACATATATTATGTATATATTCATGTATATTTACATAAATGAGACCTTATATCATTTTGCAACTTGATTTAAAATTATCAGAGATCTTTCCATGTCCATATACAGTTGATCTTGAACATGAGTCCACTTATGCATCTTTTTCGATCCACTGTTGGTAGTTTGCAGAATAGCCAAGTGTATGCATTGATCTATGCCATTTCATACAGGGGACTTGAGCATCGTGGATTTGGGTACCATAGGGGGCTCCAAGAACCAATCCACTGCAGCTACCGAGGGTAGTTAAGTTTTTGAGGAGTCTAAGTTGTACATGGATTTCTGACTGCGTGGGGAGTAGTGCCTTGAACCTTCCATGTTATTCTAGAGTCAGCTGTATAGTTTTAGTTCTTCTCATCTGCTGCATAGTGTTCCATGGTATGGCTCACATATTTAGTGTTTTACTCCTGAGTTTTTAGGTTTCTACTATTATGAAAAGTGCTACCATAGGATGTCCCTGTATTTTACTTGAATGTTTAATATCTCTGTAATGAGTAGCTGAGGTTTCAAAGTCAAAGGGTAAACACATTTTAAATTTAATAGTCAAACTGTCCTCTAAAAAGACTGCATTCTGTTTTAAAAATATATTTGGAGTTAACCAAATATTAAGACTATGTTCTGAAGCCAGGGGAGAGGCGGTTCAAGATTGTGACGTAGGAAGATCCTGAACTCAACCCCTCTCACAGACACATTGAATCCATAGCTACATATGGAACACTTTACTCTGAAAAAGACATGAAAACTAGTGAGCAACTCCACATGGGGCAAATGAGAAAAAGGCCACATTGAAGCAGGTAGGAGGTTGAGAGCCAATCTCACCATTAACCCCACCCCCAGTATAATGGCCCATAATCAGGAAGGAACTCACAAACCAGTTGCTTCTCCCTGAGAAGGAAAAGATTCATACCCCAAATCGGGTACACTAACTATTAAGACCTGCACCTGAGAGATGAACTCTCAAAACATCTGGCTTTAAAATCAATAGGGCTCATATCCACGAGACTCAATGGACTGTAGCAAACAGAAATGGCTCTTCAATGACTCGTTGGACTCACCACAGGGCCCAGTGCAGAAGTGGCCCCTGGAAAAGCACCCAGATTTTATGTGAATGAGATTCATTTGCTAATCTTTAACATTGGCCAGAGAGGCAGGCAACTACTGGGATACTCTGGGCCAAAGGCCACTTTTCAACTCTCCCTTTGCAGAGCACTAGGATCTCCTGGAAGGGAACTTTTATCTGCATCTGGTGCCCTGAGATTTCGACTGCTGCCCTGGAGAATACCTCTTGATGGTTTGGCTCCAGAGGCCAGGGGGATTTGGGTTCCTTGGTCCCACAGGACTATAACAGAGTTCATTCTTGGCCTACCATCAGCCCAAGGTACTACAAACCCCCAGTCTTTCTGAGAAAGCCTACGTGTGGTTGTCCAGGAACTTTGGCCTGAATACAAGTTCCCAGTCTGACACACTTCTAGAAGCCCAGAGTTGGTCTCTGGGAATGGAGGCTGGTGGAAGCTATCTTTGTGCCCTCTTTCTGCCTTGCTCCAGCTTGATGACAGCTCCTAAGGAGGTTATACCCTTATCTGGCACCTCAATTTTTGCAGCTGCTGCCAGGGGAGACTTCTGCCTCACCTGGCTCTGGTGGCCAGAAGGGCTTACACTTGCACGTCCCACAGGTTCTTATAACCGATGTAAGATTGTGTATGAACTATACTTAACCAATGGAGAGAGTTCTTAAACAGCTACCACAGACAGCAGACCCAAGAGCTCAGTGAAAGAGGCATATAAGCTTTTCATCATAGTCATAGCCTGAGGGGCAGGTTTCCAATTAAACATGCATCTAAGGGCGAACTGTAAACCTTACCAGACATGTTGGAGGGCTGGTGCTGTCTTCGTGCTTTCCCTCTCCTGTGCTCCAGCATATTATTATCTCTTGGAGAGGGGCTCTTACACTTGTCTGATGCCTTGATTTTCGAAGCTGCCTCCCACCCCATGCCCCAGTTAAGGAGAGAATCTTAAAAGCACCAAGAGGAAACAACTTGTTACATACAAGGGAACCCCCATGAGACTATGAGCAGATTTTTCAGAAGAAATTTTCCAGTCCAGAAGGTAGAAGCACAATATATTCAAAATGCTGGAGGGAAAACAAACCTTCTAACCAAGATACTCTACCCAGCAAGGTTATAATTCAGAACTGGAGAAATAGTTTCTCAGATAAGCAAAAAGCAAAGGAGTTCACCACTAAACTGGCCTTACAAGAAATGTTAAAGGGAGTTCTTAAGGCTGAAAAGGAAAAGGGCTAAATAGTAACAAAACATATAAATGTATAAATCTCATTGGTAAGGCAAATATATAGTAAAGATAGTAAATTAATCACTTATAAGACTAGTATTTGGTTAAAAGACAAAAGTAGTAAAAATAACTATATAATTAAGAGATACTCAAGATAAAAAATGGTAAAATGTGACATCAAAAAACAAAAAACAAAAAACCTGTGAGGGTGGGAGAGTAAATGCTTTCAAATTTAAGTTGTTTGCCACTTAAAATACACTTTTAGAGGTGTAAATATTCATGTGTAAACCTCATGGTAACTACAAAGCAAAAATCTATAGTAGACACACAAATGATAAGAGAGAAATCTAAGCATACCACTAAATAAAGTCATCAAACCACAAAAAAGAAACAGGAACAGGGAAAGGAACAAAAAAGAGAAAGGAACAGGGAAACTATAGAACAGTCGTCAAATAATTAGCAAAATGGCAACTGAGTACATACCATCAATTACTTTAAATGTAAATGGACTAAAATTTTCAAATTGCTGAAAGGATGAAAAAACAAGACCCATGTATACAGTGCCTATGAGAGACTCACTTCAGATGTAAGGACACAGAGACTAAAAGTGAGGGGATAGAAAAAGACATGCCATATAAGTGTAAACTGAAAGAAAATGGAGTAGCTGTACTTATCAGATAAAACAGGGTTTAAGCCAAAAATAAGACACAAAAGATGGTCATTATGTAATAAGAGTCACTAACTGTATTAAGAAGATATAATGATAAATATACGTGCACTCAACATAGCACCTAAATATATAAAGCAAGTATTAACAGACCTAAGAGAAATAGACAGCATTACAATAGTATGGGACTCAGAGACCACACTTAGAGAAATGGATAGAGCACCTAAACAGAACCAGCAGGAAACATCAGCCTTAAATGACACTTTAGACCAAATGGACCTAAAAGATACATATAGAACATTCTATCCAAAAGCAACAGAAAACATTTTTCTCAAGTGCACATAAGACATTCTCAAGGAAAGATTGTATATTAGGCCACAAAACAAATTTAACACTTTTAAGAAGGCTGAAATCATATCAAATCTCTTGACCACAATGGTATGGAACTAGAAATCAATTACAAAACTGGAAAATTCACAAATATGGAGATTAGAAAACATGCTACTTATTTAATTTAGCATACCTTTTAGATTCATCCATGTTGTCGCCAATGGCA